TCAGACTTTAAAAAAATGTAATTAGCCCTGCTTTAATTCTTCTTGAGTATGTTATTGCTCATGGCATAATTTATAATTTATTGTCTGGAGCCGTCTGTGAATTATCAATGATATTATTGTTAGTGGAAAATTGAGCAAAACATTCCTAGGAATATGATGCTTTTAGTAAAGCTCTCGTTTTGAAAAATTCTTAGTAGAATTTCCAGTCAAAATAGAGAAGAAAGTAAATAGAGAAACAGATGCCTGTATCAAGACAATCACTGATTTTAGAAAAACAAGGACTTGCGTGTGGACTTTCCCCATTCCCTGGTAAACACATAGGGCATATCATTCATTTGCCCTGATATGGGCAAGATATGACATAGGGATGTCATTCATTTAGCACAGTACTTTACCTCTGACTATGAACAGAAGCAGCTCTAAGGAAGAATTAAAAGAATACTTCTATAGCAAGTGACGTCTCCTAAATACAATCCCAGTTTGTGACTCTTGTACTTGAAAGATTTTTTTTTCTTTATTTTCTATACAGAAGAAAATTTCTTTGAAATCCTGAAAAGTTGAATGGCCTAGGCATTCCTGAGGCAGGTATCTGTGAAGGAAATTCAGGTTTTTCATGTTTTGTGTTTATGGTTGTGGAAGATGACACCTGAATTCTAGTAGATTAAAAACAGGAGTATGTAAGGAGATTCAGGAATGTAGACTATAGAATTATTTTTTGTTCTAAATCTTCTCCTTCCCTGCTGGCATAGCTTCTACTCCATTTCCCATTCTCATTTTCCCAGCTGCCTCTGGAGGCATTCTGCTCAGCCTTATTTTCAGGATAATGATGATAACTACTAACATAAGTAGTATCACTTATGTTATTTTGTTTATATTTGAAATAGGATCCCAAGTTATGCTGGGCAAAACTTTTTTTTGGAAACTTTTTGAGGCTCTGACAGTTGAGTAATCATCAGATAATGTGAAGTAATTAATCTGCAAAGTCCAGACAGACAGATGAAAATCTTCACCTATCTAAAAAAATATTATTTAGAATAAAAGGAGATTCAGTCTTTAACAAAGCAGCATCATGTTATATTTTTAACTACTGTTGTATATTATAATACATCATCTCACATCCTGGATATAATTGAAGATATTTTAAGATATAGTTTAACATACCATCATTTTTGATTCTATAAAATCTGGACTGATTTGTAGTTAAACTCTGAAAAGCAAGGCCTAGAAAAATCATTCTTCTTCTTTCCTTTAGTGAATGAGAGAATATGCACTTTCCTGAAGCTGAAGGTTTCTTACAAAAACATCTTGATACTTTGTTATATTCAGCAATATCCAGTATCAGTGTGACTTTAGTGCATGCATGCAACAGGGAAAGATTTTGTTCATTTTCCAGATTATGTTTATTAGATGAAGCCCTCCGTTGCTTATGAAATCTTTTTACTGAAGGTTCTGTGGTAAAAGTTGTCTGCCTGGTTCTTGATCTTATGGTGCAAAAGAGATATCTGTGTGTAAGTGGGTAATTGTCCTTCCTTTATATTCTTCACAGTCCTTATCTAAAAAATAAGAGAATGAAAGAAAAGTATTAGGGTTGATATGACAGGTTGAAGTTGAGCAATATGAACACTGTAGTTAAAAGCTGTCTGTGC